GTGTGACACTGAAGACTGGAGTAATGGCTGCTGAAAATTCAGCTTTGCCATCACAGGAATAAATTACATTTTAAAATATATTTAAATAGAAAACGGTTATTTTAAATTGTAATCATATTTCAAGATTTTTATTTTTAATCAAATAAATGCAGACTTGGTGAGAATAAGAGACTTCTTTAAAAAACATTTTAAACTAACTCACTCTCTATCACTTTCTTTCAGGCCTTACTTCAGACTCATGACGTTGTGGCCCATGAGGTGTACAGTGACGAGGCACTGAGGGTCACCCCACCCCCCACATCACCATATCTCAACGGAGACTCACCTGATAGCACGAACGGAGACATGGACATAGAGAATGTTACACGAGTGCGCCTAGTTCAGTTCCAGAAGAACACAGATGAACCAATGGTATGAGTTACAACTTTACTGTACATTTACACACACACGTATATAAACCTACAGACTTTTATGCATAGCATGAACATGACATCAGTTTCTAGTGGTTATGATCCCCCACTTTCAAAGTGTGCAAATGCTAGTGCTGCACATCAGATATCCTGTGTTGTCATCCTGAGATGATGGTGGTCTTGATTAAGCTCTCATAGCGGTTAAAATGTATTTCCACATGTTAGTCAAACTTCCTGAAAGCTTCGTTCGCATCACTGTGGCTTTAAATGAGTTTGTGGGCACTGTTTCAGGGCATCACATTGAAAATGAACGACTTGAACCATTGCATCGTGGCAAGAATAATGCATGGAGGAATGATCCACAAACAAGGTACATGCACCAGATCAGTTTTCCTTCAAAATCCATTATCTTCACCCAGCGCTGCTATATTGAGATCCACTATCCTTCCATCTCTCCTGTATTTCCATTATCTCCATAAACACTTCACAAATCCCTCAACCTCAAGTCTCCTAGAACTTGGCAGCAGTGTGACACTGACGTACAAGCCTTACCCACATGCCACACACACATGCCATCAACAAGTATCTCCTACATGCATCCTGCAAGCGGGACAAGCTTATATTAATTAAGATCTCATGCAGTTAAAGTAGTTAAGTTTTCAATTTATGAAGGTTGTAAGACTAGCGATGTTTATTGACGCATTTAACATGTTGCTTTGTAACAAATCAGGAACTTTGCATGTTGGAGACGAGATCCGGGAGATCAACGGCATAAGTGTAGCAAATCAAACGGTGGAGCAGCTTCAGAAGATGCTTGTGAGTAGGAACATAGCATATTTCCAGCTGTGCCCCTCTTAAAAGAAAGTTTACCCAAAAATTAAAATTTTGTTACCATTTAATCACCCTCATGTTGTTTGAATTATGATTTTTAATCTTTCATGGAGGTACCTAGCAAAATGTCCAGACTCACAGACGGCAACTAGTGGCGACTGTCTCTAAAATTGTGTTCCATTTGAACATTAGTGCCCTGCAAAGTGGACTTCACAGGGCATTCCAACAACTGTAAAGTGGAATGGGTGTAAAGTGTGTGTGAGACAACCGTTACAATGCAGCTATCATCATTACAGTTAAATAAGAAAAAAGACACATCTAAAATAACCAAATTGTGTTTGATCAGACATGTATCACTCTGATTAATGCAGAATAACACAGAGACTCTTTATTATATACTTTTTCCATTTGTATTCCTTGAAAAAAAGAACGTGATGAGTAGATGACAAAATTTCATTGGAGTCTCTTAAACAGGCATTAAACTTTACTACCATTATGCAGACATAATCCAGTAAAAAATGCCCTTTTTTAATAATTAGCTTTTTCTTTATCTTTTGACAGCGAGATATGAGAGGCAGCATCACCTTTAAGATTGTGCCAGGCTACCGCATACAGCAGTCATCCTGTGAGGTAATGGCCTCTGTGGCCTTTGCACTGTCCCCTGCTCTGTCTCTGCCAGTCTCCTCTCTCTGCAGTGCTTGTCTCCCTGGCCTATCATGGCCTTTTGTGGTGGGGTTTGATTGCCGTGGATTCTTGTGTGACTAACTGCCTGCCTGATGGCTGTGTGTTAACGCTTTTCTCCCCAAAAGCCTCCATCCTGCTGGACCAAAAGGCCTGGCTCAGACACTACCGCACACCAATTTCACAACCAAGATACCGGAACCCTTGCTTACGTATTGCCAGTGTTGAGGGAAGTTTAGATGTACAATGTGAGAATGTTTTACAAGCTGTTCATAAACAGTTTTGCAGCATTATTCGCAATTTAAAAGTGAATCTGTACCATGTTGATTACAGAAATAAATTTTTTAAAACACTCACCTTCCATATCACACTACTACTGAGAGGATGTTGGCATTAAAGTGGTCAGTTTTCACTTGGAGTACCTTCACACAGTACATCTTCGAAGGAAGATGTTTACATGTAGACAATTGCGTTGGCTCCCTCTTTTGTTGGGAAGCTGCAATGCGGTCTGATGATCTGTAGCATTACCATGCTTTAAAAATGTCTTTTTATGAACTTTAATCTCAAGCAAATCTTTTGGTTTCCCTTACACGATGTC